CCTCCCTCCACCTGCTGGCAACACTCCGCCTAATGCAGCCCAGGATACCATTGGCCTTCTTGGCCTCAAAGGCACATTGCTGGCTCATGCTTAACTTGTTGTCCACCAGGACTCCCAGGTCGTTTTCTGCAGAGTTGCTTTCCAGCAGGTCAACCCCCAGAGTCAAGTTTGACTTTTTTTTTCTTGGGAACTTGAGGTGGCTTTTCTTGAAACTGAAACGGATGCCCACACAGACACAAGCAACCTTTTCTTTCATATACTCTCCTTCTTGTAAAAACTAATATAAATACATTAAAAATATGTAACCTATTTACAGATCTTTCTACACAGGGAAGTTAGCACATAGCAAGCTAGACTTCAAACTTACATCAAACGGCGTGGGAAAAATTCTAACAACTTGTCTACAGAAGTTGGCTCAGGACATTTATCTACATTAATGACAAGTGTGAATTTAAAAGGGATTGGACAAACTGTATTAGACCCTGGCAGATTTAGCTTTATTTGCTTTGGAAAAAAAGTAAGCTAAATGAAGTGTCAAATTTCAAGAAATATAGATAAAAATCAATATTTATATATACAAATCAATAACGGTAAGAAAATTAGCCTCTATGCATTTTTATGACAAAATTAAAAAGTGAAATCAGACTTGCACACAGATAGTCCACAACATATAGAGATTTAATATCTTAAAAAAAACCTCTCTATCAGGTGGAAAATGCATCAAGCCAGAAAACTAGTTATAGAAATGTTACAGAGATGAACTATACCGGGAACACCAGACCACAGAAAACGTACAGATAGAAGAGACAGCACATTCATGAGAGTGGTACAGAAACAGAAAGAATTTGGTCTGAATAGCTCCACTCAAGCTGGGAGAACTTTGTTGCAAATTTTAGTGGTGAAAAGACTGTGACCTAAAATTGAAGTGAAAAAGGAGTTTGTTCCAACCCCCAAAAGACTTCTGCATGAACTGGCACCATCACACACCTGAATATTTACAAAGAACATATAGGCCTGTATGAAGGTTGTTCAAACCAATGGATTTACAGACTTCCCTTTGCACAAACAATATAAACAGGTCAACTATGTCCTCTTCTTACAACTAAACTGACAAAACTTTTAACATGCTACTTACACAATAAATTAACTTGAAAAAGCTAAACAGTGAATCGGTAAGGTAAGAAAGCAAAGTTCATAGCACAGATGTATCAAAAGCAAGAAATGAAGCACCCCACAAATCTGTGAAATGGTGAGCAGTGACACTTTGGTATACAGCAAACACTTAGATACTATTCCCCATCAAAACAAGAATTCATCCAAAACTGTGCCTTACAGAGCCTGAAACTACAAGTGACTGTGAATACAAAAGAATTCCATTCACAAAATAACTGCTTGAGGTATTCATTCATACTGCCATTATTTCCAGTAACTAACTGGAGCAATGGTAACAAGAAAAGAATGAAAACTTTTTCAGTAAAAAAATGACAGCAGTAGTTTTAGTTTTAGTTGCAAGCAATTATTTTAGTTCAACAATAAACAATGAATTAAAATATGTCAGTAGGATTTCTTTAAAAGTTGATAAAATCTGTTTCTGACATTAAAAAGTCAATATTATATAAACAGGTAAGAAGTTAACAAAAAAACTTCAATCCATACACTGAAAATAGAAAAACAACTAGATTCAAAGTTCAAATCTCTCTCATTTTAACCTTAGGATTCAGAAGGGAGGAGAACTGCGTTCAGCCTGTACTAAAAATGTGACCCAATGTTTTCGTAATTTTTTTCTGGGAATAAATAACTCAGAACATTCTCTCTGCTTGCTAGTTGTGCATGCTGCCCAGAGCACGACATCCAAGCACCAGGGAAATGCTGTTATTTATAGCAAAGGTGGTAGATAGACCTGTAAAAAACTGAATCCTAGTGGGACAACCCCAACTGACAGAGCTTCACTGACTTCACTGCTGTCAGCAGGATCAGGAACATGTGTTTCAAACCACAATATTGAAATGTAACATTTTTAAGGATACACTCATATTGCCGTAACATATCGCAGAGGCAGACTACTGTGGCTGAAAACAGAGTCAAACTGAGCTTGCGTGATGTTCAACTGAATAGAAAACATACAGACCTGCCTTTGATCAAAACACATCCAGAAGGATTTTTAAGTAAAAACAACTAGCTCTTCCATTTTTTCTACAGACACTTCTTGCCATTTTAAATTTTGCTTCAGCTTGCATCTTATCATTCACATCTGACCAGAGTAAATAATTTATTGGAAGAAAGAAAAAGAATAATCCTGAAGGTATAGATTTTTTTTTTAAAGGAAGGATGTGTATGTGTACAAATCGGGAAATTTCAACACACTAAAACAATTCCAGCCAGAAAACTGTAGAGCAATCAGTGTGTCAGGAAAACACACTGGAAACCTAATAAGGTTAATTACTGCTGCATTCGTAAGTTCAGTACAGACAAAGATAGTCAAAATACCAGGATACTACGCTTTCCTTAGCATTGTTAGCCAGTGTCCACAAATCATCATCATCTCACCGCAAGCCTGTTTAATTTTACCTAATTCAGTAGTAAATATGGCTTATTTTTACCCACATGGCTAGAAGTCTTCACTAGCATACAAAAAACTATGTCAGTTGCAGAACAAGTCTAGTCCTTCTGAAATCAGTGACAGAAGTCATCACAAACAGGATTTCATCTGGTAAGGCGTTTCCTGCCCACAAACACAAATCCTTAACGGCCCAGCCCCAATTTTGCTCTGTCTACGCTAGGTTCTTGTTGAATGACAGCCACTGATCAACTGTTTCACTGCTGCCAAAGAGTATCTCCCCCAACTGCATAAACCTTGTGTAGAACAGAGCAGAGGGGTTCTGCTCATAATTCTTTCTACAGGATCAAGAGCGCATGTTTCAATCTACTCTTACGCTTTTAAGGATGTACTCACGCTGCCTGAGCACATCGTTAGGCAGCAGATTAACGTGTCTGAACAGCATAAGAACAGAGGGTCACTGCAGCTCCAAATACGTTGTAATTCCAACTGCCAACAGAGCTGCATCTGGGGTTTTGCGACAGTGAAAGGCTTACGGCTACAGCTCTACCAGCAAGTAATTCATCTTTTTTTCAATGGATGTTGAAGAAGGCATTGCTGCACTAATGTTGCCAGCAGTTCAAGCATTAATATGGTAAACATATGCATTTTAATTAGCATGCTAATTAGAGCATTAAATGACATGGTGGTGAACATGTCTGTGCCTGATTTACTGCTAGGCTTATGTTACCAGAAATGATGCAAATATGTCACTGCTGAAAAGAATGTAAGAAACTGCATATTATGGGCAAAATTTAGGTTTATTATGGCTATTTTTGCAATGTAGATTAGCTGGGGCCTGAAAAAAAGTGAATCAGAGAACTTCGCGCATTAAGGATGGCACTTATAAAAGCCAAAGTGCACACAGGTCTACACACTAGCATGTGAATTAGCACAGAGATGAGTCGCAGTCTCATGCTAGAACGTCTACATGTTAAAATATATTTTTCCTTTAGAAAGTTGTACCATCTTATATCATATTAAAGTACAGATTAAAAAAAGAAAGCGATGAGGGAGAGAGACTCGGATGTTATGTATTTGTACCTGTCCTTCCCAGAGCAGGATGGACACGCTCTTTTTACAATGCCTTCTTGATTCCGAGAAGCATTACACTTCAGGGAGATGGTTAAGATGCCAACCCAAGTAACAGGCATATAGTTCTGTTTAGCACCCTTCTGAGGGTGCTGAGCTTCTCGGCATGTATAACAGTTTGGCTGGTGTATAGGTGGCATATGTTTATTAAAAACAATTACTCTGGTAGAGTTGAACTTTTCTTCTGCTGTGGTCACTGAATACCAACTAGAACTCACAAAGAGAGGTTTCTAGGATTGGGCCTTTGAAGGCATAGTCAGTTTTCATCACATAAAAGCACCTTGATTCTCATGACCTCTAGTGTTTTAATGTCCAAATGAAAGTGATAGCACTCATCCAGAGGAGAGGGAAGCTAGTGCGTAAACTCTTCTAGGAGGAGGATATTGATGATTTGTTTAATGATGTCACCACTAACCCACTGCTTAAATCCAGACTTCGACCTTCTTTTTCCTAGAAAAATGTGAGAAAAAGAAATCCTCGATTCAGTGCTATTTTGGCATAAGCAGGCTCCTAAGTTCAAAAGATGAAACGGGCAATTCATATTCTGCTTATCAAGTCACACCAATATAAAACTAGATGTTACTCTGAGCATCTATAATCATACACAGCTTGCTGTAGGACTTGAAAAAATCCCTAGCAGAGCATTTGTTTTCTCCTATTCATGGTAAAAAGGAATAGATGAATCCAGACATCAAAAGGAGATTGTATGGGAAGATCTGGAGTTAAGTGTCTCTGCTGGCACTCTGCCAGCTATATGTCCAGGTTAACTCAGTGTCATTTGCTTACGTGTGGTCAAGAAAGCCCAGCTAAAGGCCTACCCAAACACAAAGTATCAGGAGATGCACAAAATAAAGAGTGTAAACAGCAAACCCCTACCTCCTGTGCTCAAGGAACTACCAACATCTAGTTTCTGTGGGTTTTCCTATCAAGACTGATACAATCGGTATCTCCACATGTGCAAACCCCAAATGAAATTCTTCCTGCTGCTGAGATACGAACTGCCTCCTCCTCCTCTACCTGCCCCCTATTTTCTCAAAGCTTAAAGGAAGAGACTTTTTAACTTCCACGTGTATTTCATCTCCTTAGGAAAAAGCCCACCCAAAAACCTTCTCTAATTTTTATTTTGTTCCTCCAGCTTGGATAGAGAGGAGGACAAATACAAATAGATAAAGCTTAACAAAACAGTTTTGGATTGGCTAGAAAAAGTCAACACACAAAGATGCAGAAAGCATGCGTCTCTAAAAAAAAAGTCACCACATATCCACTTCATTCAGGGCTTCTACAAATTATTAAATGTGCATTTTGAGTTTGTTTAAATAGCCACTCAGTTATTTTCTTTTCGATCTGATGCAGCCCTTGAATAAATACTGTTACCTATTGCAATAACACTGCCCTTGGTACTCTCATGCAGAGCTATGCAACAACGACGACTATGCAATGAAAACAGAACCATGCGATATACTTACAGCTCTGTAATCCAAGAACATTTCTTTAAAAGCTAGGAAGTCAGTAAATGTGAGAAGCATATCAAATATATCACCTGCCATTTCATCTTTGTGCTGTCTATAAAGAGAAGAAGTTAGAGAATTAGAAAACTGTGTGAGTAATGAACTCATTTTTTAGAACAGTTTGAGGTCAAAGCCTGAGGACAAGTTGAACAATATCAAGATTAAAATAAGAATGTTATTAAAAGTCTAACATAAAGCAAAATTCTGAACAAATATTACCTTGCAGTATCTGCAATCCAAGTACATTAATACTATATTTACTCTTGTTTTTATATGATTATATCAATCTAAATCCAAGATGTAGGAGTATTACATCAATCCTGGAAAGTCAAAGAATGTGACTTGTAAGCCAACAGAAGTAAAACGCAACAGAAGTAAAACTCAAAAAGTTATCCAAAACTACGGAAATAATAAAAGTTGCCTCAAGTCCCCCGATAGCTTCAAGAACTGCTATTAATAAAGCTATCCACTTCAATTAGATTTCAAGTAGATACCCCATACCTGCACACATGAGGCAAAACCCTTGCTGCTGGGAGATGAAATGAAGTGGGAATAAAAGACTTTCTGGATCTAACTGCTGTGGACTGGAACATATATCCTAGAGCTCTCCTGGTAAGATTAAAGAGGTAGGTATAGGCCACAAATTCATGGAGTGTAATAAAAATGCATAAGGAAGATGTCAACGTCTGGTTTTGAAGTTTTGAGCAGAAAAAAAAACGCTTTGGGTTTCAGATAGTTGTTGTTTTTTCCTTTATCAGAGGAGATCAGCAGTCTTAGAAAATTCATAGCTCAAACCAGACCCCAAATAGACATAGAAGGGAACAGGGATAACATTTAATTGAATAAGAACCGCTGTGCATGTTGGCACATTAGCTCTTGACGCCTAGCTGAAAAAGTAAAATTGCAGAAAAGTGTGGACAGCGCTCCGAGTTGAACAGATGTACATTTGCATGGGTAGGATGTTTCCAACACGTGACTACAGCAGCCTTGGATCTAGGAGACTGTATTAGTGGAGCATCAAGGGCTGCTACTTCAAACAACCGATCGCTAGATTTAATTTACTTTGACTAGCTGTGCAGTGCTCCGTGACAACACAGGTAACCTCGCTATTTAACAGCTTACTATTTTCAGGCTTAGTAGATAAAATGCAAAATGGGTATACTGCTCCTATTAAGTAAACATTTCCACCTGGATATCTAAGGCATCAAGCGCAATTCTGAAAGGGGAAACAGGGTATTTCTGGATACACACGCCATCAAACTACTTTGCTAGCTCTGTGGTCTTGGATTCCAGTAACAACTAAAAAAAATACACTCCAGCATTTCCTTACACAACGTTTACAATAACACTACACATTAACTAAAGGAAAGGGAATGGAATAAATGACCAAAGAGCTACGTATTAAAGAACCGGGGGAAATTCCATTTACTCCTTAGAGATGGAAAGGGCTAGAAAAACAGGGATATACTTCCTTGCCTTGAGAACTGAAACAGCCTAGAAAGATCTAGACAGTCCCTTGGAAGGTAACAGAGCTTGGGAAAGGGCACAGAATGCTCACATACATCCCTCAAGAATGAGGGACTGTACTGATGATATTTGGTACAGGACTGTGGATAAAAACATTCTGGAATAAAAACTCTGTGTTTCTCAACATGCCGTATTGGCATATTTCAACAACACATTTCATCTTTCCTACTAATCAAAGTTTTTTGTTGTTGTTTTGTTTTTTTATGTAGTGCCTATCAAAAGGGGCTTTACCTTAAACAGTTTATCTTTTAAGCACACTACTATGCTTTCTCAGTAATTTCCCAGTGTTTTATTTGAAAGCATAAAATTTATTGAAATATTTTAAGAGATTCAGTTCCCAATTACACTTAATATTCATATTACAGGGGAAAAGTCATCTTTTAAAACTGAATTCTTCATGAAGTCAATTAAGCTAAAGATGACCAAATGTAAAAATCTAAGACAGACCAAACTTCTCTCTAAATGCTTTGCACAGAAATTGCAATAAAAGGCATTTATTCACACGACTCTTGAAAGATTTCCAGGATATTTTATGTCCAACACAGAGCCTGGAAGAGAGAAATCGCTTAATGAGACCCAGCTTTTCACTTCCAGGGCCTGGCTTCAAAAGCCCAAGTGACAACAATAGGGGGAAAAAACCCTTCCATGTTCTCATTCTGATTTCTGTGTTCATTACAGTCTAACATATTTTAGTATGACAGTTTAGAAATTTAGAGTACCAGGACATGATGAAGGTGAGAAAAGCAATCATGAACACTTTTTAAATCATTATTATTAAACAGGAATCTCCTTCTCAGGGGAGAACCCTCAAACCTAAATTTTATTCTAGATAGAAAAAATGAATTGAGAAAAGCACATAACCCCACCCACCCACCCAAACGCAAAGACGACAACTTACTGCAATGACATTGTGAACACAGTCATATTAAACCCAGGAATCCGATCAAGCAGTTTTTCTTCAATGTATTTCTCTACTAAACAGATCTAAAAACAAAAAACAAAAAAAAACCCACACACCACATCACAATAAATTTCATATGCAGATTTCAAAACACAGGATTACATTGACAACTTCTTCTCCATAGTATTATCTTCACTAGTTAAAGAAACCTGCAGATTCCTGAGTTAGGCAACGCTAGTTCAAACGTTCACAACATCTGACGAGCTGTGGTGGACATTTTTGCTGTTACCAGTTGTGAAAATAAACATTATCTATTTGGAACCAGTAACAAATTATTTTAAATTCATTTTATGGTACTGACCAGTTTCATAATCATGCTTTGTGAGAAGATTGTGAAAGATGTACAAGGTAAGAAGGAAGCTGTCTTGTACAAAAATGCCATTTAAGCTGTCCATTACGCTAAATAATACAACTAGAAAAGAATATACTTTGATATCTACTGCAGTTATCACATATATTATTTGCTACAAAATTAGGTTAAAATTCTCTTCAAGAGAATTACACAAGTTTCAAAACATCTGTAAAAGTTTTCAGGTGGAACAAAGGAATCTAGAGCTTGAGAAAACAGAGGTCATGACTAAGCTTCAAAAACAGACAGCAGACTACGTTAGCTTCACTCCACATAAACAGGGTATTTCATAAAGGAGGGCTTGCAGGGTAAAAATCAAAATAAAAAAGCAATACATGTGAAAAACAGGAAAAATATCTTACATATTCGTTAAAAATAGAAGTATAGATGAGCTTGTTTTCCTCTGAGTCATCAAACTCCTGGTAGTGCTTCTCCATAAAACTCCTCTGGATTAGCTGGAAGTCATCATCTGGGACATAACAAAAATACATCATACAGTTATGAGTCCAGTCATTCTTATTGTAACACAGAAACCATATTCACTAGAGCTCTGTCTCACTGTCACAACTACAGAGCACTGTATGTGTGTCAAGTCAGTCATAACAGTACAGCAACTGTTGCTGAGCCGTAATTTCTGCACCATCTGGGAGAAGACAGATGCTGCTGGGGGAGAGCAGCAGCCAGTTCTTCCAGGGCATGCAACCAAGCACACTACAAGCCAAAGCTCTACTTTGGTTAAGGGAGCTGAACCAACAGGGTAGCAACAGGTCAGTCTATGTTTTCACAGCAGCTGTGTACTCACAATGGAACAGGATGCATTTGCAAAATATTTAAAATGATGTGAAAAACCTAACAAGGTACACAATCATTACTCACAAGTTTCACTTACACACAGTATTAACAACAAAGCCCTCCTGCTTTACCTGTCACTAATAAAGTTATTTATAAACCCTTTTTTTTGTTCAGGCTCCTGAGTCAGCAAAAAATATATATTTTTATAAAGTGAACATCCCTTCCCCTATAAGAATTCAAAATAAACTGTTCTCCTTGAATTCAAAAATATTAGTGAAACTCCCAAATTTGTTTTCAACTGCTGAAGAATGTTTTCCAGTTGTGGAAGGAAAGAAAAATAGCAAGAAACAAGATAATCACTACAGTCATCACTAAATTCAAAAGAACGGGTATAAATATAAAATTTACTTATACATAGCGTTAATATATGCCAACCTGAGCTTTCTAAATGCTAACACATTCAAAATTTGTATTGTAACTCCACGTTTAGTTACATCTCCAGGCAAACCGAGGCTGCAGAACACACAATCTCTCCGGGAAGGACACAGTTAAAGAGACTATTCATTGTTCTTATACAGTAGCAGATGGATGATTAGCATGAATTCTCTCTTTGCATCTAGTACACTTCTTCCTTCCACACAATGACCTCTCAGTTAAAATTATGGTGCTGAGAATTGAGGACCTTGTATTGCCTAAGCTCACATGATGAGATGGGTCTACCCAACATTCCCTACCATGTTATGGTTGTATGCATGTGTGCAAGTTATACACAACAAAATCAGCTTAGAAGGTTAGTCTCAAAAAGTGAAAACTGCATTGACATGATGAGGTCCATCTTCAGTTCAGTAATGCTGCTGCAAACACAGAGGAAAGAAACTGTTCTCTATGTTCAGCAGAGACAGGACAAGGAGCAACACACTTAATTGCAGCACAGGGGGTTTCACGTTACACATTATGAAAGGCTTCCTGCAGGAACAACAGCCAAACACTAGAACAAAACTGACGAGGCAGATCATGGAAGCTCCACTGACGGAAGCTTATAAGCCCATCCTGATAAACGTGTTAGGAGAGGTTCTGGCAGAGCTGGGAAAGGGAAGACAACCTCTCAAGGTCGCTTCCATCCCTTTCTGAAGAGGGCAAAGATCCCAGAAAGCTTTGATTTCTATATGGAAATTGACAAGTGCCTTTATTGCTTATGAAGAAGGACTGACTGGTGCAGTGGTGCAAGGACACATCTTTAAGACTCATAAGCACGCTGTTATGAGAAGAGCACACAGAAGACTTCTGTGCGTAGTCTTGCTACAGTACCAGTTAGCAGTCATGAGAATTAAGGAAGGAAAGCTTCTATGAGGCAGACAGAGGCTATTTTGGCTCTGTACGTCCGGCAATTAGAAAATCAGTTTGGAATATTTTTAGCACCCATCTTGTTGTCTGTAACTACTTGCAAAGCTTACCCATTATAATATCCTCCAGATACCCAACAACTGCATCAAACTCTGCATCAGAAGGGGAGGAGCTGAAAGCAAAGAAAGACAGTATTACATATGTATACACTTCAGTCAGAATAGAAATAAAAATTAAAAAGTGTTATGGAAAGCCTAAACACAAGTAAGCCCAGTAATTACAAGATAAGTGAATGATTTTCTAGCTTCAGTCTACAAAATAGCCCACAACACTGAAAATCTAACTAATAAGACGACTGCTTAGCGGGGATTCTCATCAGGGCTCCATCATGTATTCACTAGACATGTTCCTAATTCAAAAGAAGTGGTGTTTTACCAGCATTAAAGATAATTCCAGTCCTGGTGCTGAGGTGACAGGAAGAGTGTAGTTAGAGCAGCAAATAAGCACTTTCCATCCCATGAACCTATAACAAGCAGCTTCTCTCTCTCTTCCCTACATAACTCTACGTGGTGGTCATAGAACTGCTTATGACACGCTAGAGAGTATTTTGAAATACTTGGCCCTGCAAAATCACTTTACTTCTCTTAAACTCTCTCTGTATATAGGTATGTTTTGTAACAGAAGAAACTTAAACAGTCTTCTTATGCAAGAAACACGTTTGCATGCTCAGAAATAAGTGATATAATCTCATAAAGTCATTCTATCACCACACAACAAATATGAAACAACATTATGTATCTGAAGCCATCCTACAGAGAAACCATTGTTACCCGCATTTCAAGATTTCAGCTCCCTCTGCTACATTTATTATTATGCAGCTGGTTCAGATACATCAGATAACCCAGAGCATCTACTTGACCTTGATATTCCGAGATCATCTTTAGTGGGGGATGAACTCCTCCTACATTTTCTGGCAGATGAGGCACAGGCTTTACTTACACGTCAAGGATACAAGCCTTATAGCACATTATTCTTTACAAAAACCATTAGATTCAGTCAGTGAAAGCTCCATTTAAATTAAATTCAAGCTTCCCTCTATTAGAGCAGAACACCATTTCAGACAATGTGTTTTAAAACCCAGCAAAATTATTTTGCTATTAAACAACAATCCAGTGACCTTAACCCAGAACAGTTTAACTGTTTGGCCATTTTGACCAGGAAAAAGGTGAAGGCATTTCATTACTGAAAGGGTTTGATCATCAAGTGATGCTCTAACAACAAACGTGAACTGTTAAGCCTCAGAAAGGCAAGCAGAGAAAACACAAGTGAATGGAAAGGCATGCTATACCACCAGAGGGCATAACACCACAAGAAGAGGGAGCTCACACATGACAGCTGAAGCATTACATATTCCAAGCGTCATATTTATGACTTCAGGCAACAGGTCTTATCACTTTCTATTTACATACGAAGGCAGCAGAATTTGCTATGGCTAATTTTCACTGGTTTTTTTTTTTTAAATAAGTGTTACCACCAAGCAGATGAAAAAAGAAATAGCAGAAATTCTTCTTGTTTTTATAGGCTATTCTAACAGTGACAAAAAATGTGAAGTATTAATTTAAAACAGAGAAGTTTGCAAGACAGATAAAGGAATTGCAACTGCTTCAAAACAGCAGCAATCCCATCGCTCTATACAACGCACCGATATCCGTATTTCTGAGCAAATATGCTCTGACAAATCTTGTGGTGGTTTAAGACAAATGCTGCCTCATAAGGCCTAGGCCACTGCATCCCATGTTGCAGAAGCAGCTGAAGGGAACATGCGGCCTTTCAGTCCAGAGAGCACCAGAAATGTACCAGTGAACTACAGTGACAGAGGAGCAGGCACACATCCCTATCTGCCACCTTTGCCATAAAAAGTCTAGAAGGGGCACATTCAAACAGAGATATTCGCTTCTTAAAATCTATAATATCAGACAAGACAAGGTGTCAGCAAGGAGAGGAAATTTTTGAATGTAAAATCAACACAAAGAACAGCTCTCAGCCTATAGCGTTTATTTTGATTACTCAGCAAGGGCTATCCGGTGCTATGCTTGTTACAGCTATATTTAGTTTGACTTCATCTAAACTCTGCACTCAAGTTATTCTCTCCTTTGGGCTTTGCATGGTCCCACGTCCTTGTTCTCCTAAGAGACAGTATCTGCTAGTCAGTACAGCCTAACTTCATTCTTGTAATTATATTCCTATTAAGATATTTAACTAGGAAATAGTTTATTGAAAGTCTGACACAGCATAAAGTCTACTTACATGGCTACACCAAAGTTTTCCTCATCTGAGGTCTCCATTGTTACTGCATATAACCTATTAGACTGGAGAAGAAACAAATCACTGTATTACTGTTATTGGTGGTGGTTTTCATTTTAGGATAAAATACTAAGGGAAAACATATGCCTTAGCAGTAAGGCTAAGAGGGATGAAGAGGCCACGCTGGTCCAGCGTGTCCCGGGCAGCCTGCAGGCCAGGGGCTGGATAGCAATCCCAGGCGTCAGGCCCATGACTCCGGCCAGCGCTGGGCTGCGTCACGGCCGAGCGCTCCGTTCCACGGCTCCGAGCAGTCGCTGACCCGTCGCGCAGGCACGGCACCCAGCACCCCTGCACCGCTGGGGCTGCCTCAGCGCAACAGCCAGCTGCATGCCAGGTGTGCGCTGGGGACACCCTGCTCCTGCCACCTTCGCTGGCTTTCAACCAAGCCGCCCTTTGGAGCGGCCGACTAGGGACGGGACCCAGCTCTTCAGCACGGCCCCGCGGCACAGAAGGGGGATGAGAGACCCCTTCCCCCCCATCTCGGCTCTTCACCGGGCCTCCCCTCCCCCCAGTAGGGACCCAGGCGTCCGGCCTCTCTCACCTCCCTCCCCGCAAAGGGACCCAGGCGACCAGCTGTCGTCACCTCCCCGCTCCAAAAGGGGTCCAGGCGACGGGTCTGTATCGCC